GATGGAAGGTGAAATAACACAGCCATATAACATCTTAACAAGATGCGCCGTCAACTTATTTTGGCATTGGACATTCGGAAATCCACAGTTGACTGTTAATGACCTTCTATCTGTATTCTGTGGGGGTGGTTCGGGACCCGGATGGAATTCCAATATTGTGACCACCCATTTAATACCGAGATTGATCCGGGTTTTATTTGATCGATGGAAATCGAACCCGCGATCCGTTATTATGAGTCTTACATTGCTATCGGACCGCGAAGCCCGTTTAAACAGTATCGCATAATATTTACAAACGCGTCTAGAAAATGACGTGAGCTAATATGTGGCAAACAAGAAGGCAGCATAGTGACATTTTAAGACGTTTATAGAAGAGTGTAAATAACTCGCAACTTCTAAGTATCGTATATTTACCGAATATTATTAAGTAACTGCCTGTTCGAAGTTAAGTAGGTACATAGACATTAAAGCCCACCAAAACATACGTGATTGATGTAATCACAAGTATGTATATTTTTTTCATGAGTTACATTAAGCTGCAACGCTTAGTAAATTTATTCTATGCGTTGCAATAGATCTTATTTCTTTATTCAATTTAGTACTAGTACACGTGTTTTTCTGCCCTAGAAGGTATCAAAATAATAGTGTTAACTGTGTTTGAAATTAGAACGCTAATAACTAGGTATCTAAAACTATCAACCCGATAATCTACCACCCATTTTAAATGTCCTGATTTTCAAACAGAATCAGCCATGAATAAGAAGGTGGAAATCGAACTCGCAACTCGTCTATAAGCCGTAAAGTGATACGACTAGACCAACTGGCCCGTTTGAATTTAGAATGCCTATAAACGCGACTGAATAGACCTTCCACCACAGAATTATACAGTAGCAAAACCTTTTCACAGTTGAATTCAAAAAGCAGAGGCGTCCGGAGCCCATTCCCACAGCGTTATTAGTTATTACCCGTTCCAAATGGCGAGTCCGCGTCGGTGCGCACTAGCGTCGCTTGTGGGCTGCATAAAAAATGTCTGGCCTGCCGTAACGCCGCCTCTAATGACACACTATGAGTGTAGGGCTGCTACAATCGCCAAAAAAATATTTTTTGTATTATTCTGGTTTAAATAAAATGTATAACAACGCCGGAACGCGTTCTCCGACCAGACATGCCCGTGTCTCACAACTTCTTTATTCAATTATATAAGCTTTTATATTTATTTCCAAAGTTCTTATAAACTCACTATACTTATTCGCTTAATCTAGTGATTTAACCTTCTTTTCGGATATTTATTTTTTGAAATGACCAGATCTCACCTAAGGACCTATTTTGAGCTAAGTTTAGTATCTATCCATAAGTATGTGACGGCTTTAGTCGTTAAACACTAAAGCATCGAGTTCAGTTTTGAGAGACGTAATTAATAGATTGAAAAGAAATTTGAAGTTTTTTTATTTATTTCGAGGACGACAGACAAGTATGGAGTTCACTTGATGGGAGGTGAAATACACTAGGCATATAACATCAGTGTGGATTTCTCGACTTACTAAACTAGATGTCTTACACGAGAAACGCAGAAAGCGACAATTGCTTTCTATCGCGAGAAAATCACTATCTATCGATCTATCACTATGATAATGTAGATTATACCAACTTACCTATTTTTTTTTAATATTTTTTAAAATGTCATGGAGTTCCAGCCCTGGCGTTGTGGGTGCGACTACGAGCGTTCGCCTCCTACATATTTAATTCACCCGGACCGGTTCCTGTCCGGTCGCTACGCTTTGTATTATGGCAGAGGTTATGGCTCTATCTGTAGTCTGATTGAGGAGCGGCGTATTGACAGGGCCCATTTAAGAGGAGACCCGACTTGAAACAATACCGTATTGAAAAATGATAAGGCAGCGTTTCATATGTTTTAAGCGAAACATTTTTCGAGACTGCTTTTTCATTTATATACACACATGTAAAGAAGAATAATATTTCAAGAACTATTTGTATATTGAAGTACGAAAATTTTTTAATCAATAGTTACATATATACATATATATAACGCTGAAGAGTTTGTTTGTTTGAACGCGCTAATCTCAGGAACTACGGGTTCGAATTGAAAAATTTGCGTTGGTTAGATGATTTATCGAGGAAGGCTATAGGCTATAAAACATCGCGGTCTGGCGTATAGAAGCGAAGATACAGCGGGAAATGTGAACAAAACGGGGGAAATTCTTCATCTCTGTGGGTTTCAAAAGCGTAGGCTGCGAAAACGGTTCAAGATACCAAAAAATCTGTTAGAAAGAATTATTCATCTCCAAATTATCTAAAAAAAATCTGCGACGCTATACATCTATCTTTTAACGTTAACTTGCAAGAACGACAGGAAGGGACGTGATCGACGTCGTGGCTAATAGCTTAAGTTTATAAAGATGACGGGTTTTGCAAAAACTATTTTGGATGCCCAAAACAACGATTCTCGCGGACGAAGTCGCTGGCGCAGCAAAATTTTTCTGATAATACAATCAAGCCACAGAACTATTACATGTGTAAGTATTAAAACAGTAGGTAATTAATTTTACAAAGAGGAATAGATTTAGTAGATGGTTTAATATATAATAGTTACGGTCTAAAGCGGTGATTCTATAACTTACCTATTTAATTTTTAATTACAACCTATTTTGTCTCCCCGTGACCTGTTAAGCAGCTGAAACTTAGATTAAGTAAGTAGTTAAGGATTAAGTAACATTCAACTAATAGATTTTGTATTTAAACCGTTAAAATTGTTTTATTTACCAATCGCATAAACTACAGATGCAATTAGACGATTCTATTCGCAATATTTTAAGTATAAGCTTTGATTTTTATCAGAGAGATGGATTATAATACGCGAAAGGGCGAGCATTAAGCCAAAAAATATAATCTCCGTCACGAACTCAACGGTCTGAGAAAAATCTGTTGTAAACAGACTGGAATATTGTGGAATATTTTAAGCCAGCAACTGTTGGGATTGTTTTTTACGAATCTGGGACGATTACTTTCAGGTTCCAAAAATTTTCTAAGGGTTATTCGTAATTGTTACATGGTTATAATAAAGGAGTTTTAATACAGAATTAGAGACATGTATTATTGTTCTATAACTTTTATCTAAATAAGATAATGTCATCTAAATATTGTCTAAAAGCCGACACTTCTTATCTGATCTAAACACATAGATAAATAATAAATGATTAAAAATCGCCATTTTTAAACGGTGTCCTACGGATCTACGCGTCCTCCCTGATCCTCTTCAAAAGATATCTAGCAGCTCATAATATCATTCAATATTCAACACACACTTCCTTCGAAAGTGCAGGCGCGCGAAAAAATACAGGAGGGCTGAGGTTGAGAAAGGGGGACGGACGCTCACGAGATGAATGATGATGACTCGGTTATTATTTATGAAATGGTCCACGTCTAAGTTGTAGCTCTCGGTAGTAGGTCATCTTGCGCAACAAAGATATTTTACCGCCAATCTAAAGAAAATTATGATACGCTAAAAAAATGTCCTGTTCTTTTTTAAGCTTAGGCTCAGTAAGGACTCAAATTATTGCACGGGAATGACGTGAACCTAACAATCCATAACCACCATACTTCAACAAACCGTACTCACAAACCAATTTGCCCATGAATTTCCTGCGTAATATGTGAACTATTATCAAGGGCCACTTTCTATGATTGCGGTAAACTCACCAGAATTTCGCTTTTGTTTTATTTTTATTTTTCATTGCTGCATTGAAAGTTATTTTTAAGATATAGTATTCTTTATAAGTCACATTTAAAAGTGTATAATACATATATACACATAATATGTCATCGGTTTCGGACTCGGCTCGTCGTAAAATGCGCAGTCAATTTTTAACCCGAAGTTTTATAGTGTACTCCAGAACATTTATTTAACATATTTTACATAACAATAAATTCCGGAGCTTAAAATATGCTAACGAGTACTAGCGCATGCCAGTTTTGCGATTTCGCGCCATTTCTGGGCGGCAAAATGTCGGACGCCTTTTGGCGGGAACGCCAATTTGCACAGACTAATAAATTATGCAGTTCTCTTCGGAAACGAGGTTTTTCGCTCTTTAAATTATTTGTACAACTTTTTTACTTGAGAGTATGTTGAAAGTAATATATAGTTTTTTATGTGCGATGCCAGTAAATAAGTCCAGATATATAGAAGTAATAAGTTATACTGAACCAAAAGAATAAATAAGACATTATTGCGTTTCTTATAAGGAAAGTTATTATTATTTTTTAATATAAATTAAAAAAGTAAGTCACATTCATAAAATATTTTATTCTTCCATAAATCACAATCTAAGTCTGGCACGTACAACAACAGATAAATATTCAATACATTCATTGTTTATATCTAAGGTATACTGAGGTATTTCTCTATGAAATGATCATATTTCACATCTCTACGTACAAACTACTCTATCACTGAAAATAAATTCGTAATTCATATTTGTTAATATGTCATGCATATATAGAAGTGTTTTTATTTTAAATTAAGCTCGATTCTTATGTAATCTTCTTTAAAAACAGATTAAAAATTTATTAAATATTTTGGCGATTAAATAAATACGATGTTATTATTCTAAAAATGAAATAAACACAGCCAAATATCGAGATCTAACATCAATACTTACGTCTATTATAAATACTTAAACAATTAAAATTGTATACTCTGTTAAAATGTCTACTGGCAGATTTTTTATTTGTACTTTGGCATTTTTTTTCTAAACCGAATTAAACTAACACTTATAAAATGTCGATCTGACAAGACCTTTTCTAATTCCTATGCTTAGAGGTAGTTTGCGATTTTATAATAATGAGCAAATTATGACCTTTTATAACAAATTTAAACGTATTTGATACTTGATTTTTACCAAGCTTAGCGCAAGGTTAATTGAATATGATAGTTTTCATTACTAAAAGAAATTTAAGAGGAGTTCTCAGACACAATTTTCATTTTAATCCTCAGGCTCGGAGCCGACTGAATAATCAGCTTTCAAGTCCCTCTGCAAATCTGGGGAATCGTTTCGAATTCCCAGCACCGCTCGCGACGAGTAAGTACTCTGTGACATACTGGATAGAATTCCGTTTGATAGAGCCTGAACAGACAAAGCCTCTTGTGATGGGCCCGCGTAGCTGTACTGTTGGTAAACCGCTTGAATTCGCGCCGCATTCACTAGCGTCTGAATCTTTAATTGGGTGTCCAGTGCGAGACTCAATGGCAGTTTGCGCAACTGACTCGCGATCAGTTTTCCAAACATTTCGAATTCATTTTCATTCCCATTCTCGGAATGTTGACTGAGGTCCTGCGGTTCAGAATCGCTCCGCTCGTCGTAATTCTTTTTCTGTTTCGACGGCAGTGGGTAAATCGTCGCAAGCGAGGTAGTGAGCGGGGTCGCTATTCCGACAGGTGGATTCAAAAATGTCGCCGTCGTGGACGCAGGTAGAATACCAAACGGAGATGTAGTCTGACTGAGTCCGAAGGGTGTCCCCGGCCGGGGGGACGGCGTATTCAAAACGTAGGGGGTAGACGAACGGGTGGAGTTTCTACGTTTACGCGGGCTTTTCTTTTCCGGCGACTTTCGCTCGCTGAGATCTTGGACCGCGTCGCTGTCGTCGCTCATCGCTATTTCCAACAAGCTATTATCAACCTGTAACAGAAATATTTCGCTTCAATGTTGGCAATAACGCGCATGTGTCGTGAGAGGAGGCACTTACAGAGCTCGGGGTGACGATCGCCCTCAGAAACCTGTCGGCGTGTTCGAACCACGTGACGCTGGGCCGGTACGCATGCGCGCCGGCCTTCCGCGCCGCGCGAATTTTCTTCAGCTCGACACTGTACGACGAACGTATGTTTTTTATCTTATTCTTCAGTTCCTTAACGGTGACGTCTACCAGGTTCAGCGCGTTAATGATCTCGACGTAGCCCTGCTCGCGTACTTTCTTGTTCTTGTAGTGCTCGGAGACCGGATTCCAGAGATACTCTCGTTTCTCGTACTCGACTATCATCTGGATGGTGAGGTCCTCGCTCCATTTGGGGTTGCCTATGATCGCGACCATTTTATTTGAACATAGCACTTTTGACGTGTTAGGATATCTTGGAGCGAACGTTACTAGGAGCTCAGGAGAGTGCGGGCGTGTCGCATGCGCGCAGCATACTAAAAGCACGTCGATGGGCCGGTTAGCCGCGCGGGGGGACTATTTCGGGAGTAGCCGATACGCAGTCGCGTGCTTTGGAGCGTGCTGTTTCCTCTCGTTTCGGATGCTGGGCTCGAGTGAAATGGAAGATTTGTGGACGGTGGGTGGACTCGAGTCGACGCACTTTCGCAAGTTACTGTTTGATTGACGAGCGATGGATGATTTATGTATTCAAACTTTGAACGTATTCACATTCAAAAACGATCCGATGAGATATATTACGTATCTAGTTTATGACAATTAAGTAAGAACTTACTTTAAGTATAATTAACGGTTTTAGATATTTTTTCCTTTGTCTGTAACTTCAGCGAATTTAAATGCGATTTTCAAGAACAGTGTTACGAACTTTTTTAAAGTTATATATAAAATCCTAAAATTTTATTCGTCCAAAATACGCATTAAGTGTTATCCAGAAATAATAGAACCTCAAAACATAAAAATTCACTATATCTAAAAAAATAATAAAAAAGTGTAGAATATTCCACCCAATGAAGTACCTACCTACTTTAATATAGACAATATTCATAATTTTAGACGCTCCTAGGTCCCAGTAGCAAAGATGCCATTTTCTCGGCGGGCCACGCGCACATTCAAAGCCAGTTCACGGGGCCGAAGCGGCCGCGACATCTCGTTACCATAGCAACGACCTATGCTGCGCTAGATGGGAATATAGTAGGTACAATAATAAAGAGTAAAACTGCTTTTTAAAATACATAATTTCTTTAACAAATAATAGAATAAGTCTATACAATTAAGAAAACAAATATTCTTTTTCAAACTCTTTACATAAAGAAAAGGCATAATTCTAGATAAACGAAGGCTATTAAATATAAAGAGTCGTTTATTTGTTACCAGTTTTGTAATATTATTATTCGTTATTTTACGTTCTATCGTATATACGTTATTATCGTTACTTTTTCGGGAACAAAATCCGTAGAAAACTATATTCGAAATACACTTTTGATATTGTACAAGAGATTTTACGTAAATGGAACTACATAATGTAACGGTTTACACGGGCAGGCCTAGAACCCGCGAGTAATGTACAGTTTACATGCGCACTTGCGTTGCAATTCGAAGTTCGGATTATATTTTTAAAATAAGTTTCAAATATAGAATTTAAACACTTAGTAAAATAAAACCAGCAGCGTCTATACGCTGTGAGAATATCTCCATCTACACAGTTAACCGACAAATTGAAATATTAAGACCATAAAGACACGAAGAACCGTCACGTACTACATTAATAATGAAATACAGCGGCTGGAAGGAGTGGCTTTTAGCTTGGTTAGTGCAATTTGGGAGCACCACAAAGATAGCAGAGCTAGGTGTAAATTATTTCACATAACGTTTGCTTTCGGAGTCAGTAAGTGGCAGCATAGTTTAAAATAAACTTGAAACACGCACGAATAAAACAATTTAGTACCTGACCGCTTACGTTGACTAATGGTTAAAGCGTCAGGCGTGCTGAGTTCGTAACCCGGAGCAATAATATTTTAGTTTGAGCTGAAGTCCTATTTTCTTATCTGTACATAAAAGAGACACTAACATTTTCAATCATCTTTTAACTTATTTTATTGACAATTGACCGCAACGTTCCTCGCTGTTAATTTACTGGTTGAGCTACACATTTTTAACATATTGATATAAGAACAATTCTCAATAGCTTAAAATTGTAGTAAATTAGGTTCACCAATATATTTCGCGTATTCTAACACTGAGTTTGGTCGACAATTTTTTCATTCTTTAGTTACACGCGACAAACAAATTCATCGTAATCACAGCACAACACACACCATGTTTACGTATAGATAACGGAGTCTCACGTTTTCCGTGTATTAGCTTGATAATGTAGTCGCTACTGTTGCTTTGCGTCATGCACGATAGTCATTGGTCGTATGTATTTATGTACCATAAATAGGTACAATTTTTATGTTCTTATTCTTTTTGTTAAGGATTGAATGACCCCTTTTTCAAGGATTGAAAAACAATCTTTGGATCCTAACATTCTGATTCCATATTCGATAAAGTCTAAATACATGCAAATCTAAAAAAATACTGTAAAAATTAAAATGCGAAATATGTATAGTAGGTATATTAAGAGAATTAACTAATTATATATTTCCGATTTTACTATTTTTGCGTTTTAAACCGTTAAAATCTATTTATTTAATGTTAAGCAATAAACTAGAGGACACCGTTAGAAAACAATTCAATAACCCAGCCAGATTCACCAAATGCCATCTACGACGGAAAAGATGGCGTTAGCATAGCAGTTTTCACTTTGACATTAGGGCAATCCTGCATCTTCAGTCCCCGTGACCGGTGTTAAAAATGTTAAAATAATTTGTAAATAAGTTTTACTAATACACATTGCGTTTTAGCCGTAATCGTTTTATTTAATTAGAAGTAAATTGTATATTGTCCTCTCTTGGTACTGAATTTATTTAATCACACGTAATGTGGTGGACGGAAATACAGAAAGGGGCAAAATAAAAATAAATTAATCGTGAAGTGGGAACACAAATGGTATACTATTAAAATTTTCAGGATTCTCGGAAAATTGCGATTTTTTGACAATACCAAATGGCTGGTTACTTCGATTGAATGCTAATTAAGCGAAATAAAATATTACTACGAAATAGAGCTATGCAAAGTAGATACTTATTGAGAACTGTGAATTATATACAGCCGAGTAATGAGACGGTGGGAGGCGACCGAGCCGAGTCTAAATTACTGGCCGCGCCGTTTCAAAGGCGACGAGTTGCAAAATTCGCTCTACGGTGATGAACATATTTCTAAGAACATAAAGGATAATTACGAACATTTAAGACCTAGAATTATAAAACCGTTACTGCAAAATAGCTGTCCCGCTAGTGCAGTGATTAATGCTTAATATTGCAAAAACACAATGTCCAGAGTTTGAATTCCGAGGCGGTCGAAAAAATCTTCAGGTATTTGGAATATTTATAAATAAATTTAATATATTACTAATCTTGAGTTTAAAAGTGTAAGTATCACCAAATTGGATGCTGTGTGGTCCCGTGTTGGGACGTTAATAGTATTGTTGACATGATATACGTGGAGAGATGCTTTTTAAACGGTTTTATACGTGAAATGTTAACTTATTGTGTAGGTACCACACCGACCTTGGCCCAACGTTTTTTCAACAAGGGACCACTGTTTCTGGAATACACCTGCACAACATCTGGAACGTCGGGTCGTAGCTAAAATAGATTAAATATAAGTTAACGTGGTTTATTTAAATGGCACTATCAAAGTTGTGAGTTTAAAAAAGAACCTTCACATTTTTGCGAGTGTTTGAAAATTTGTCCCGAAAAATGTAAAAGTCCCTCGAACTGTACTTTACATTTTTACGAATACACGAGGGATATTCAAGCGTTCAGCTACTTGGCTATTATCCACTGAAAGTTCTGAACAATAAGCCCAGACCACTTCGCGGACAACTTGTCTTGCTTCTTACACTTCAACGGTTTAAGTGCAGCGCGGCGAAATTTTTTGATAAGTTGGGCTGACACGAATAAGACAGGGAAAAAGAAAAAGGAAAAATAAAAAATAGTTTCAGTTAACAAGGGCGAAGTTAAGAAGTCTCGTCAACCTGGCTTTAATAGAATAGTGAACAGACATATAAATGTGTCTGTCTCGGAGCTACGGGACGTAACTATGTTCTGATGTTAATGCTATAAAATTTAATTCATCACTTGCGCCGCACTACAACCCTGGCCAAATATATCTTCCCCTATTCCTCGAAACTTAATTCTTTTATTTCAATAGAAAGAATAGCGAAGCGTAGAGTAAGAAACAAAATAAAAGACAATAGAAACGCCAGAGCTAGACATTTGTACAATTAAAAGCGATGTTTATCCGCACTTCCGAAATCGGCTATCTCTTTCGGCCTTCTAATTTGAACACGCATTCATTATTAGCAATCCTGGAATGCTGTGAACCACAGAGATAAAGGGAATTCGTGAAATTTCGCGCTCAACACATTCGGCGTACGCGTTAACGCAACCGAATTATGCAACGTCATTTATTTTATTACATTTTGACTTCATAAGATTAGCACGCAATAAAGTTTAGAATAGATAGACTAGCCAAGGAGGCATTTCAATATAAAGCTTAAAGAAATATTTTAAAAGTCTGCATTCACTGTTCTTACATGCAATGTTAAAACATTTTGCTTTTTGTATCACTAATTAAAATTATCAAACTTACAAGTTACATAACATAATACATCATACATATAAAATCTCTTTACATAAATCAAAATAACATAGGTTATTCATATTAATTACCATTGTTTTCTAGTAGAATGTGCGAATTCTTCATATGTAATATAAGGTGTAAAAAAAGAAGTACAGTTCACAGTATCAAAATGGTTCGGTCGCAGTATAACCCGTGATCACCCATTCTCCCGGTCGACAGCGCCGCGGCCCGGGGCACGTTAGAGCACTCTCAACTTTACATAGCTCGCTATATACCGAGCTTATAGGAGTTTGATGGTATATGTGCATATATATATATATTATAAGGTTCTTGTTGGATACGTTCCTTCCGAGGAATATGTATTCTACAACTTTACATTATTTTTTTTGGTAATTTCTTATTCACATTATTTGAAGTCCCTGTTTTTAATAAATAAGTTTATATTTCAAAATTGTAAATGTATAATTATTTTTTCTGTAAGTAGTGCATTAGACAACTTATACTGGACGGTTTCCTAATCTTGGAACATCTACTACGATTATGTACTCCTAGTATTCAACTAAACTATTATTAGTTTCTATTCTCCTGGTTAAGTAAGCCACCACACCCTAGACTAACTCTAGCGTAATTATTAG